TCTGTCCTTCCCTCCCTCCTTCCCCTTCAGCTCTGTAACGGTGTGGAAACCGTGGGTAATACATGTTTCCTCATCCTCCTGCAATGTCCAGCACGGAGTATGGGAACAGGAGGTGTCTCCTTCCCCCGAAGAGGGAGCGAGCATGCTGTTGACTCCGTGTACGCCTGTAGTCAGCCTCCCTAAGGGTTGTGTGCTGAGGGAACGCTCCCCACCGGAGCCGTACGGATGTGCTGTAGCTGGGGGTGGATGCGCAGGGTGATTTAGGGAGCCTGAACCAGCCAGACTTCAGAGTCAGCCTCTGAAGGTTAGGACTCTGGCCCTCTGCAAGCCTAATCCAAGGAATGTTTTGCCCACAAGCATAGTATCTTAGAGAACCACAGCAGAGGTGTTGCAGTCTGTCCTGGATGGAGATAACAAGTTTGGGAATGCCTTTCTGCAGAGAGCTCTTGAAGGCAGGAAAGCACCAGCCTTCTTACTGGTACGGATGGGGCGAGGAAGAGGGGGAAGGAGGGTGGGAGGTCTGGGAAGGAGACAAGCGCTCAGTTATCTGAGAAGCATCAGAAGTGAGTAGGTGGCAAGACCAAAGAAAGAATCTCGGGATCAGCACAAAGGAGCTCAGCCAGGGCTGTAATTACGGTGATGTAAGCGAGAAGGATGATGGTGGGAGGGTTGCGTGGTGGGATGTTCAGAGGGAAGTAACGGAAGAGACGTGCAGACAGAGATTTCAGATACTGTGAAAGTTTTGGGTGGTGGTTGGTTTTTTTGTCCGTGGACACTTGAGAACTGATTTTTAAGGTGGAGCACTAACCTGCGTTTTGGCTCAGACATCATTTGAGCGGTGAAGTCAAGGGGGTAGCGTTAAGCTGCTCCTCTTCCCGGGGCCGTACGCAGCAACCTTCCCCGGCTAGGATCTAGCTGGGTTCCGCGCCCTCCGGCTGCTGACTGACCAGTTTGTACAACACTTTGAGAGTGGAATTGGGAACCCTGTGACCTGGTGTGCCAGTCTTCCCTAAATTATCCTGGGGCGCTCCAAAGCCTGCCACCGTTCTGAAGAGTTGCACAACTGTCCCCAAGCAGGACCGTGTTTCCAGTTGGCATGGCCCAACACAAGGCTTGAAATAACTTTTCGTTTGTTGAAGAAATGACTCGTAATTATTCTCTCCTTTTGAAACCAACCGAGAGCGGCGTAAGACCTGATAATGCTAAGAAGGAGGTGGGGGGAGGCCAGGAGGGAAGAGGGAATGAGGGGAGCTGAGAGAAGGACAAGGTAGAGGCTGGGCACCTTTCAGCAGGGTGGGGGTTTTCTGGTTACTTTAAGCACCATCTTCTAGAAGATGTGTAAATAGGAACAACTCTGTTGGGGGTGGAGATTCCTGCGTTCCTGTCCGATTTGACTTTTGGGAGGAAGAAAAGCTGGGTTTTAGCATCTCATGAGTATTGTTAAACCAGGAAGGAGATCGAAGGGTACTCACACCACTTCCCTGATTGTTCTGTGGTGTGGAAACGGTTAACTCCTTACGACTTGCTGTGTATGGGAATTGCAAGAGGCACATCAGTCGACACGCGGCAGAACGCAACTGGGAAGTCCTCACGGGCTACGTGATTTAAGTGTGTTCTGGCATACCTTCAAGGGCTAAAAAAGGTGATGGAGGAGCTTAATAGACGTCTGAAAACGTGCGAGAGGTGTATGCGTGGATTGCAAAATTCCACAACAATTAGCATGTAGATTACCAAAGCTTTCAAAACTGAGACAACTTGACTAATTCTGATTTACAATCAGAAGCACTTAAAAAGGATCAGAGGAAAACTGTTTAAACAATTAATTATCTTTAACCTTTTAAACTTCCTATGTGGAAAGCAGAGCCAAATTTCGGAGCAGGAGTGATTTTTTTGGATAGTGTAACAGTCTGTGACAGGATTATCTTTCCCTTATTACTTGTAACGAAAGGAAGTTGTACAAGCAGACTATAAAGCGGCCCAACCTACAGCCAGGATACTGTGGAAAAGAACCGCCCGATGGCTGTGGTCGTGGCTGACCGTGGGTTTCTGGCCGGCATCCTAGACAGGAGACGCAAAGAGGATGTGGTACCTGGCCTTCGGAGGCCCCTGTTTGCTCACCTGGCTTGTCCAGCGCTCTTGCAATTGCTGCTGGAGTAGCTGGCACAAACGCTCCACCTCTTCCCATTCCCATTCCAGTGGAAGGTGTCCCTGCCCGTGGCAGGCGGTGGGACGGGGAGGGGCTTTAAGGTCCCTTCCCACCCAAACCGCTCTGTGATGCTGTGATTTCCACACCCCGTGACTGCTCCGCAGCTTTAAACAGAGCCTGGAGGATTTGGGCAGAAGTTAGTGTGTGTGAGAATTTGGGTGGTGACGTGCTTTAAAAAGGGTGTTTCCTGTGTGATCCGTGTTTCCCTGTTCCCTGTGAACGGTGGCATTCAGCACAGGCCAGAGTAACAGAATGAAGAGGAGAGAATTGGCTGGATTGAAACGTTTATATTACTGAATACTTGGGTTAACTTCAGCCTCTTTCAGATCATAGAATCATGGAATGGTTTGGGCTGGAAGGGACCTTACAGC